GATAGTCCAGAGCTGGGGTAGAAATTTCCAGGACACCATAATCATGGACTCTGTTTGGGTATTAGTTTTATTCAATTGTTCTATAGAATTTTAATGTTTTATATGTTTTTATGGCATTATGCCCCCATGTACATCGCCCAGAACCCAGCATAAACTGGGATAGGGTGATATAATTATGATGAAGATGATGATGAGAATTTGTTCCCACTATTTGCATCCTGCTTTAGATTTGATGGGTTAGATCCAGCCAGCTTTTTCACTCAGTCTCACCCAGTTCCTGCGGTATCTGGCTTTTGTCCTTGATCCCAGCATAGTATTTTTTGGTGGACAAGGGCAGGACACACCTTTTTCTAGGACTGCCAGCCCTTCATTGGCAACTGGCAGTGGTGGTGGGGGGGGGGGGAGAGAGAGAGACTGATGAAATTGGTATTGCTTAGCATGGTAACATCACTTCTAGGTGACGGTCTAGGATTTCCCCGATTTCTGTGGTTAAAACCCATAGAGGATGGGGGGGGGGGATTCCTAGAGTGTTACTTGACTCATCAATGTCATTTCTGAGCCTCCATTCAGAAATGACATTGCTGCAACAAGTGACACTGCTTACCCTGCCTTTTCTCTCCTCTGCCCCAGTGAGCATCAGCAGGGCGGGGGCGGGGGAGTGCCAGTGAAGGTTTGCCCACTGATAGCGGGTTAGTGGCATCCCTACCTTCTTTATCACCAGTTGAGAAACAGGTTCGATAAAACCCATTGTTATTCTACTCTGCTGTTGTCCAGAGTATCTCACACTGAGTGGACTTCTCTTTAGATGGGATGTTGTTCTACTCCAGCCAGCCAGACAGCCTTTCTTTGTAACAGCACCCCCCCCCTTCTGCTAGGTATTTAACCAAACCTTATGCACGTGTTTCTCTGCATATGAGAACTTGAACTCTGACTCTCAAAAGCACTGCTTAAATAAAGACTTTTTAAACTATGATGATCTAAAGACAGTATTTTTAAGCTCTTGGGATTTTTGTGAATGGCTTTACTGGCTCAGCTGGAAGTCGTTTTTATGGATGAACTGTTTGGGGGTTTATTTGCTGTTTATGAACTTTTTAAAGGATTTTAAAGCAATTGTTGCTTTTTGACAATTTTATGTTTATTTTAATGTGCAGTGGTTGCTCTTAATGTTTGCTTGATTTTTTTATTACTGTCTTTTATTATTATTGATTTTTTTAAAAAAATCTTGTCAGCTGTCTCAGGGTTGTTGCTGCTAGATAAAAAGTCAGCCTGTATGTACTCTAAAATAATTAAATAAACAGGCCTTAGAGGCACAGATCTGTAGCATTTGGAGAAAAGATACTATCTTATCCTGGAATTAGCCATAATTCTCTAAACATTTATATGGCCCATACTGGAAGCAATGGTTATCAGGATTACATATTCTTTTACATCACATGCATTTTAAGAGAGCCAGTTTGGTGTAGTGGTTAAGAGTGCAGACTCTAATCTGGGAGAACCGAGTTTGATTCCCCACTCCTCCACATGCAGCTGCTGGTGGGGCCTTGGGTCAGTCATAAGTTCTTTCAGAGCTATTCTCTCAAGGGCAGTTCTCGAGAGAGCTCTCTCAGCCCCACCTACCTCATGGGGTGTCTGTTGTGGGGAAGGGAAGGGGACTTCTTTGGGTAGTGAAGGGCAGGGTATAAATCCAATCTCTCTTCTCTTCTAATTGTATAAGAAGACATGTTTGCCCACTTCAAGGTAGGGCCCGGAGTTCTGGAATTATAACTGATTTCCAGACTGTAGAGATCAGTTGCCTGTAAGAAAGTGGCACCATCTCCCCATTGGGCTTGCTCTCTAGCCACCACCCACAAATCTCCAGGAATTACCCAGGAACAGAGGTCATTTCGGGGGGGATTGCGGGGGATCGCAGTTCCCCCGGGTGAGGGGCGGAGCACACGATGAAACCCCGCCCCCTGCTTCCGGCCGCCCCGCTTCCAGCCCTCATTCAGCCAGGAGGAGGCAGGAGAAGAGGGAGGGTAAGTTGCTTCCTCCCCGCCTCTCCCCACCCCTGCCTGCCTGGGGCCAGGGAGGGCCTTCGCGGGGCTTCCTTGCACTCCCGCCGGCCTTGCAGGTCCACCGCCAGACCCCTGATGTCAGGGGGTGTGACATATGCTAATGAGTTATGCTAATGAGTCCCCCTAGCTCTTTTTCTACGAAATGACCCCTGCCCAGGAAGACAGTGTTGGCCCTATATATGTGTGTACCATACCTCTGCGGTGGCTCAAGTGGTTAAGGCGCTGAACTGCAGGCGGTGGAAGGTCAGTCGTTCAGCAGTTCGAGACCCGAGTGCGCCGCATGACGGAGTGAGCTCCCATCTCTCGTTCCAGCTCCTGCCAACCTAGCAGTTCGAAAGCAAGAAATTGCAAGTAGATAAATAGGTACCGCTTCGGAGGAAAGGTAACAGCGTTCCGTGCGCCTTGGGTGTTTAGTCATGCCGGCCACATGACCACGGAAACGTCTTCGGACAGCGCTGGCTCTTCGGCTTTGAAACGGAGATGAGCACCGCAACCCTAGAGTCAGATTCGACTGGCTTTCGAGCAAGGGAACCTTTACCTTTAAAGGCTACTGGGGGGGGGAGAGTCGGGGGGGGGGGAGGAATGCATGAGAGGCCCCTAGGGCTGCCAACCTCCAGGTAGTGACTGGAGATATCCAGGCAACAGAGATCAGTTCTCCTCGAGAAAATGGTCACTTCGGAAGGTAGACTCTATGGCATTCTACCCCATTGAACTCCAGGGATTTCCCAACCCGGACATGGCAACCCTAGTTGAGAGCTTAGCAATGATATGGCAGCATACAGTCTGCCCCCAGAAGCTGCCATTTTCTCCAGGAGGATTTAGGATTGCCAACCTCCAGATAGCGCCTGGAGCCCCCCCAGAATTACAGCTGATCTCCAGATGACAGAGATCAGTTCCCCTGGAGTAAATGGACACGTTGGAAGGTAGATTCTATGGCCTTATACCCCCGAAGTCACTCCCCTCCCCAAATTCCACCCTCCTCAGGCGAGCGTTGCCAGGGTCCCCCCTGGCCACCAGCGGGGGATGGGGGGGTAGGGTTGCCAGATCCAGGTTGGGAAACTCCAGGAGATTTGGGGATGGAGGAATGAGGTGCAATGCCATAGAGTCCACCCTCCAAAGCATCCATTTTCTCCAGGGGAACTGATCTCTGTAGTCTGGAGATGAGCTGTAATTCTAGGAGATCCCTAGGTCCTACCTGGAGGCTGGCAGGTTCTATCCCCAAATTAATTTCTTAGCCCAGAGTTGGCAACCCCAAGTCCTTCTGTGCCCGGAAGGTAACACCATTTTTCCTTTTGGCTCTGAGAAGGATGCTGAGGTGTGTGGGGGGGGGGGAGAGAAAGTGCGCAGAACTCATCATGCTGGGAAATGTCTTTTTTTTTTTGCTGTCAGAAACCAGCAAAACAGCTGTGTTTTGACAGTGCTGCTCAAATTACAGTAGATGTGTTAAGTGCAGGACAGAAGATGCACCTCAAAAATGCCAGTGACCCTTTATTAAAAAAACCCTCCATATTCTTCCATTTCTTACTCCTCCCACATAGTGCCTAGGCAGGCAATGCAGGATATAAATTGAAACTAATAAATAAATGGTGATGTAGAGGTTAAAGTGCCGGCCTAAAATCTAGGAGAACCCAGGTTCCTATCCCCCTCTGCTAAGGAAGTTCGCTGGGTGACTTTTCACTCAGCCTGACCTACCTCACAGGGTTGTTGTGAGGAGAAGATGTAGGAGGGGAGAACAATGTTATAAGCAGCTTTGTCTCCCCTGGGGAGAGAAAAAAATAAAGTGCAAGTAAAAAAGGAAAAAGGAAATGTAGTCTGTGCTATAGCTAAATGCTTTCAGGAATACCGAACCTATTACTCTGGTAACTGGGTTCATTCAAAACACTGCATCTATATTAGCCAACACATCACTCCAGGCGTCAAGCAGGGCATTTAAATTTAAAAGCAATCATTTCTAAACGTTGGTAGTGATCAGGCGCACAGAGCCTGATGTGGTAATTATTCTACATTACTAAACTTCAGATAAGCGTCTTCTCTCTCTGCTCTGCACTGAAAGACTTCTAAGGAAGCAGACTGTGGCTCGTAGACGCTTATGCCATAACATATTTCTTGACTTTTTTGATGCCCCAAGACCCTGTTCCTTGTGTTTCAGCTGACCGATCCCCTCCAGAACACATTTTACTGTGCAGTTGCACCTGAGCCTTGGCCTGGAACCAATCCGAAGACTGCGTTGTTGTTGTTTTTAAATTGCAGCTTTCGAGCACGATGGCAACTTCACCTTTTGCTGTTTTCCTGTGTGCATATTTGGGGGGGAAGGGGGGGGATTGTCCTCTTCATGCCTATAAAAAGTACAAACCGGTGAATAGCGTAACGAAAAGGGGAGCGAGTTCTCCATCTCTATGGCTTTGCCCAAAAAAACCCAGGAAATTCCACAGGTTTCCCTCCCCACCCTTCTTTTTTTGAGCTATACAAACAAACACCCACCTACAGTGCATCCTGAATTAAACAAGAAAAGAGCATCTTAACGACTTGTCAAAATTTATTCCAAGGCATGCTGGGATCTGTAGTATTCTCTGCGTCACGAGGGAGGCTGAGGGCCCGACGTTGTAGTTCCCCTGCTGCGGTGCTGTAGCATTCTGGGAGTTGTGGCTCAATCCTGTTATTCCGGCTCTCCCGCAATGCACGCTGGGAGTTGCAGTTCCAACGTCGCTCCTAGTGTTTGCCGGGTGTCGTAGTCTCGCCGCCTCTGCACAGTCAGGCTGGCCTTAAGAGCTTGTTTATTGCTGGGGGAAATTATCATGTTGGGGAGTTTCGGCATCTTTTAAGGTAAGTTTAGAGAGCGGGAAGATTCGAGGGTGTTTTCTCTCCTTGGCTGCTTCCTGTTCTCTGTTCCTCTCTCTCCACCCTAAAAGTTGGGCAAGGGCTTTAGGGTGTTGCCCCAGACTGGCATTGAGTTGATGTTTGACTGGTTATTGGAGGAAGACATTTCAGAGTAAGTACAGAGGTTAGGGGGTCAGGTCTTTCGTTGAAGCCCGGGATCTGTTTTCGATGCCGTGGCCCAGCGATGGGATATGTCCAACTTCTCGTGAATAGCAGTGCTTTAGAGCATGTACAGAGTCCTTTCCTCCTGCGAACGGGAGCCCACAACTTCACGTCCCCGACCCTCAACTACGTATGGTCTGGGGGAAAGGCTTCCTGATGGGAATTCAAAGCTGGTGTCTTGGACATGCCCCTTTTGGAGAAGTTAAACACCACCGGTGACTTTTGAGGCATGGATGGATGCTTGCTGTCTTAACGCTGCCAGATTCCGTGGCGGGTATACAGTGAGGCTTCTCATTTTTAAGGTAGGTGTGTGTTTAGCAGTGACCAATTGAGTTATCCTTTTCAACATATTTTTTTTACAACATATTTTGAGTTATCCTTTTCCACCTCTGCTCTCATACTTCCTGCCCTGTTTGAGGAACTGGCCCCAGCCAGTGGTGGAAAGTGCCATCAACTCACAGCTGTCTTATGGGGACCCTGTGCGGTTTTCAAGACAAGAGATGCTCAGAGGTGGGTTGCCATTGCCTGCCTCTGCGTCATGACCTTGGACTTCCTTGGAGGTCTCCCATCCAAATACTCCCCACGGCAGATCCTGCTTAGCTTCCCAGATCTGATGAAACAGGGCCCCTGCTATTTAAGTCAAAAATAGTGTTTGGGAAATAATAGCAATTGCCTGTTGAGCACTCATCCAGCCTTTCTCATTTTTTTTTTATTATTATTTTCTCAGAAAAAAGGTGGGATACAGAAGGGAAAAGGAGGGTGGGGGAAAATATAAATCCATCAGGTTTGTCAAATAATATGAGTTGTTATGTGCAAGTAAGAGCAGATATATTACCAAATATATTACATATTTCAAATATAGAAGCAACCTTTAAAACATCAGTATTCCAGAATTGTAGGCTAGATTCTTTAAAGAACAAACGAGAACTTTCCTAAGGTTAGTGATCATCTTGTTAATGATAAAAGAGCCTTTCTCCTTCTTTTTTCGTTTAAAGGGACCAGCTGGTGGCTCTGAAGGGGTCAGTGGAGTTGTAGGGGAACTCCGTGGGGCAGAATGCTGGGTGATGTTTTCAGCCCTCCTTGAGAAGGTTCCAGGTTGGGCCATTAATTCATACCCGTTCGCTGTGTACTGCTCTGGAATCTTTGCCACTCCTGGGCGTTTACCATAAATGAGAATCTCTGTTCCATCTGTAAATGTAAAAACTAGAGTCAGGCGGCATCTTAAAGACTAACAAAATGTATTCCAGCGTAAGCTTTCATGAGTCAGAACTCACTTCACCCGATCCGTGAATCCTCTTTGAAAGACGTATCCTGTGAAGTCAGTTCTGACTCACAAAAGCTTGTGGTGGAATAAATTTGTAGCAAAATAAAAACCGATGTCCAGTGGCACCTTCTAGACTTAACACGGCTTCCCTCTGCGACCTGTAAGTACCTAGCTCTTTTTAAAAATCACTCCGGTAAGATTGTATTGGCCTGCTTGTGGCACTCTGGAATGTTTTCTTCTGTATTCCTCTTTCTTGCCCCCCAGGTTTGAGGGGTACATTGGTTAGTGGGGAGCCCTAATAAAGTCCAAGGAAGTATTCAGGGCCAATTTGTTGTTGTTGATGATGAAGGAGGCTTGTGTGAGTGATAACTGAAGTTCTGACAGTGATTGGCTGGGCTTCCCTCGTGCCAGAGGAGGATGGGGTAAAAAGCAACTGCTGCATTGGCTGAGCTGCTGAAATCCTTGAGGGGGGCATGGTGGGCAGGAGGGTTTGAGGGAGTGGAAGGGAAGGAGAGGCAGAAGGGACTTGGATGGGCAAAGGACTTGTAGGGAACATGGGTGGGAATGGGTGAAGAGGGAAGGGGGGGGGGGGGGAGAGAAGGCCAAAGGAAGGAGTCTGAGAGGGGAAGGAAAAATACGTGAACGAATGGGTAGACAAGCTGTGTGTTGCCAGAAGGTACAGAGGTGAGAGAGGCTGGCAGACATTCCCTGTTATGAAATGACCAGCCAAATTAGGCCTATTATAGATTCAGGTGGGTAGCCGTGTTGGTCCGAAGCAGCAAAACTAAGCTTGTTTTTCCTGTTTGGTCCTTGAATCTATTAACCATCTTCATTAGGCTGTATGCTAATTTATTGCTCACCCTCTGTCTATATGTATGGACTGGTAATTTCCATTTGATTGGATCTGAAGAAGTGTGCGTGCACACAAAAGCTTATGCCTTGCATAACATTTTATTGGTCTTAAAGGTGCCACTGGACTCAAACTTTGGTATGCCTATTATAGCTCTGAGTAGCATGCATATTGCTTCCTCCTCTGTTATTTTACCGTCACGATAACTCTGTGTGGTAGAGCAAGCTGAGAGAGAGTGCTCACGGTCACCCAGTGGCTGAGTCAGGAGTCGAACCCCGATCTCCCTAGCCCTAACCACCATCCTGAGTCTCACGTATCAGATAGACCCCTCTGGTGCAAATGGAGGTTTGTCCACCTTCTCAATCTCTGCAATGCTGGGTTTTCTTTCCAGGGGTGACCTCATGGAGGAGGAACTTTTGGGCCTGCGTGGACATGATGTCGGGGAGCTCGGGGCGAAGTGAGGTGTCTGGCCTTTACCATGAGCGGCAGCGCCTGGAACTGTGTGCCGTCCATGCCCTCAACAATGTCCTCCAGGAGCGACTCTTCACCCAAGAGGCGGCTGATGAGATCTGCAAGAGGTGTGGAATGGGAGCCTCCTGTATTCGGTTTCTCTCGTGTCTCTCTTTGTACAGACTGTCTCCCAGTGTTTTTAGGGCACTTCCAAATACACCATTTTCCCCCCACTGGAAAAGTTGATGGGGGAAGGGTCTTCATCTTAACTAGCGTTTCACTCATTCCAGAAGAGGGGGGGGGATATAGGTTTTTTCCAGTGGTCCCCAAAATGTCCCAGTTTGTCCATCAGTAAAATTGAAGAACGGGGTTTTTTCTGTCCGTCCCCCCCCCCTTCTTGGTCTTTACATCTCTACTCTTGTGAATCCCCTGGCCCTTCAAGCTATGCAAACTGCTCTGCTTCATGAGCAACACCAGTTCTTGGTGCAAAAGAAATAAATAGAGTCAATTATTTGCAAAGTTTACTTAGATAAATTATTATTAAGAAGAAAAGGAGACTGGATTTATGCCCCGCCCTTCACACAGAGTGTCAGAGTGGCTTACAATCTCCTTTCCCTTCTGCTCCTCCCAACAGACACCCTGTGAGGTAGGTGGGGATGAGAGAGCTCTTTCGAGAAGTGCTCTTGAGAGAACAGCTTTCAGAGAACTTTTGATTGACCCAAGGTCACACCACCAGCTGGATGTGGAGGAATGGGGAATCAAACCCGGTTCTCCCAGATCAGAGTCTGCGCCATGCTTCTAACCACTACAGCAAACTGACTGCGGTCTATCCTGCTGTGTTTAGCTTGTTGAAACTGGGGTCCCACTATGTAACTTTTGCACCATTTAATGTATCATATTAAGGCTCATGCTTTGCTTCAGTTCTGTTTTTAGATTTTTGATTGGTTCTGCAATCCCAATCCTATTGCATTGTTTACTGAACACCCCGCCCTGTTGATTGTATTGAGTCACTCTATGTAATCTGCCTTGAGTCCAAGTGAGAAAGGCAGAGTAAAAATAAATAAATTGATTCTAAAAATTTGAAAGATCTAGCCCCTTGGCTAAAAACTAACTGTGCAATCATGTTAATGCCAGTGGGACAACTATTATATAAAGAGACTTGGATCCAGATGCTATAGTTTGAACCTCAATATTTCGGAGTTTGCAGAACTGATTTGTTCACTTTGTTGGTAGCCCTCCTTTCTCCGCATCGGAGACTGAAAAGCAGCTTACGTCATTTTCTCCTCCATTTTATCCTCACAACAACCCTGTGAGGTAGGTTAGGCTGTGTGTGAGGCTTGGAAAATGAGTGGTGGCAGAAGAGAGCTGGGATTTGACAGGTGAAGGAGGCCATAGGTACACTCTGAACGGGTGTCTCAGGGAGCCCACATTGGGCTGCACTGTGAAAGCAGACAGGGTCCGAGAGTGGGCAAACTACATTGCCCACCTACAAGTAATTCACTCCTCCTTGGCTGGTTTCTGTGGGACTGGGTGTGTGGGTAGGAAAAGAGAGGAGCATTCAGGACTGCCTGCGTTGTGGTTTCCACGGAGGTTTCGTTGACCTGAAAGATGTCTGTGCTTCCTTTAACTTTTATCTGCCTCCACAATCATGAGTACTGGAAGCCGGGCTGTTCATCTCGTTGTTGTTTTAAAAAGACGGAAAGGTGAGGCAATCCCAATTGGGCGGCTGGATTGCCAAAGAGAAATGAGCATTCCTGCGGGGCAGCGGACAGCTTCGGTGCTGCAGCCAAACTTCTGCATCCCTTTTTGCCGACTCATCGACAAACTTGGTAGCGCTGACGGGACTGTGGGCTTCGACAGAACCTGCCCCGTTGGCCTTAAACCTGCCCCGTTGGCCCCAGCTGAACCCCACACCTCTTTTCCTGCTTTGCTCACACCTGCTGCTCTTTGACACATGCGGCTGGCCAGAAGCCTTCTTGCGGTGTGGCAAAGCACTGATCCTGCATACTCCCCACCAATGCAAATGCTCCCTTGATGATGGACAGTTTAGCACCTCCTAAAATGTCCTGGGTGAGGTGGGCCTGTTGTACCTGGAGAAGGAAGTTATGCTCCATCATCCCATTGTTTAATGGGTGCCTTCCTGTTTCCAGCCCTTCGAACCCTCATTAACTCTTTTATTCTGTTTCATTCATTTGTTTAAAACCACTGGTAGGGCACACCCATTTTTAATGGGCACAGCTCTGATAGTATCTGGCATTCGGCAACCACCTCACGGGAGCAGAGTCAGCTGTTTAGGTGAGCGGTTAGGTGTCTAAAGTACAGCCTGTGCCACCGTACCGATCCGAAGGCTCATCAGTTCACTTACGCAATCCTGTTCTAGCAGGGACCTTGTAAGGTCTCCCCGGTGGCCCGCTGATTTTCTTGGCAGGGAAAACGAAGAAGATGGCTGCACGCAAAAGAGGCTGCGGCTTTTTAAGCTGTCGATACATTTCAAGGGTGACCCTTTTGTGGTGTAAGACTTGAGAGCACGTTGGGCTACATGTAAGAGGTCGCGTTATAGTGAAATAGACCGTTGTCTATCAAGGACAGTATTGCTGATTCTGGCTGGCGGCATCTCTGCAGGGTTTCAGATGGAAGTCTTTCACAAGCGTCTGCTACTTGCTTCCTTTGACTGAAGATGCTGGGGATCGAACCTGGGGTTTTTTGTCTGCCACTGAGTCCCAGCTGGCCTGTGGGTTCATATACCCTTCCTTAATTATCAAGGCCTCTGGGTGACCTTGAGCCAATCCTGTGCTTTCGGTGTGATCTATCACAACAGGGTGGATGGGAGGGCTGACTTTGGAGAGGGGGATACTGCCCTGAGCTCCATGAAAGAAAAGGGGGATCAGAGCATAATGTGACTTTTATAGGGTCGAAAAAGTATTTATTTAGATGTTTGTATACACACACATACAATTTTGTTCTTGAATGGGGACACAAAGCATTCTTGTTCTTCCCTGCCTCCAGTTTGGCCCTGCAACAACCACCTTGTGAGGTAGGTGAGGCTGAGAGAGAGTGATTGGCCCGTGGTCACCCAGCAAGCTTCCGTGTCCCACATGCTGAAGGTTCCAGGTTCCTAACCCCAGCTGAAGCATCCCAGGCAAGAGGCCTAGGAAAAAGACCCCCCCCCCCAAGACCCTGGAGAGCTGCTGCCAGGCAGAAGGAGGAGGAGTTCATTTTATACCCCAAGCCTTCGGGGAGTGCGGGATACAAAGAATAAATAAAGAATAAATAAATAAATAAATAAATAAATAAAATTCCCTGCCCTTCACTGCCCAAAGGAATCTCAGAGCATCTTACAATCTCCTTCCTTTCCCCTTTTCCTCTTTTCCAAACGTTAAAACGCTTGGGGCTCTTTAGCTTGGAGAAATGACAGCTGAGGGGTGACATGATCGAGGTTTATAAGATTATGCATGGGATAGAGGAGGTTGAGAAAGAAGTACTTTTCTCCCGTTCTCACAATACAAGAACTCGTGGGCACTCCATGAAATTGCTGAGCAGTCAGGTTAGAACAGATAAAAGGAAGTACTTCTTGACCCACAGAGTGATTAACACATGGAATTCACTGCCACAGGAGGTGGGGGCAGCTACAAGCATGGATGGGTTCAAGCGGGAATTAGATAAACATATGGAGCAGAGGTCCATCAGTGGCTATTAGCCACAAGGTATAGATAGGAACTCTCAGTCTGGGGCAAGTGATGCTCTGTCTTCTTGGTGCTTGGGGGGGGGGGCAACAGTGGGAGGGCTTCTAGTGTCCTGGCCCCACTGGTGGACCTCCTGATGGCACCTGGTATTTTTGGCCACTGTGTGACAGAGTGTTGGACTAGATGGGCCAGCATTGACGTCTCTTATGTTCTTATGTTCTCTCCCCACAACAGACACCCTGTGAAGGAGGTGGGGCTGAGAGACCTCTGAGAGAGCTGTGACTGGCCCAAGGTCACCCAGCTGGCTTCATGTGGAGGAGTGGGGGATCAAGCCCGGTTCTCCAGATTAGAGTCTGCCACTCTTTAACCACTACACCACACCGGCTGTCATTCTTAGGCAGTACTGACCTTTGTAGAACAAGGCTCCTTCATGTAGCAGGTCCCTCTTTCCTTATTCCAACAGGCTTGCCCCAGACGCGAGGTGGAATCCCCACCGCAGCTTCCTGGGCACGGGAAACTACGATGTCAACGTCATCATGGCGGCCCTGCAGAGCGTCGGGCTGGTAGCCATCTGGTGGGACAAACGCAGGTGAGTTGCAGGTGAAGGGGAGCTGCCCGAATGGGAAGGCCCTGCCATCCAGAAGGTCTGAACCTTGACATTAAAACTGTTATGTATTGGGATTGAATCATCCCTGATTGAATCACCCCAGAGACTGGCTGAGCTTGGAGCACAAGAACAATAGTCGACCAGGACTCTGGAATAAACCAGTCAAGTAGTAATGTTATGTAAATAGCCTATCACTGGGAGTGGGGTGTGTTTGGGTGTGGCAATTGCATGCTATTTAACAGAGCTGAGGCTCTGGAGTCTGGTCTTGTAGTTTTGCTGAAATCACTGAATAAACCTGAGCTGCTCCCTACCATATGTCTAGAACCCAGTATTCAATAAAAACCAATTCAGGAATGACAAGATTTGTAGTTTTCTTTAAAATGTCAGTCTCACTGTTTTCGCTAACTGGGACCCAAAGAGGCTTATTCTCCCGTCTTCCAGCTCACCATCACAACAGCCATGTGAGGTTGGTTAGGCTAAGAGACTGTGGTCAGCCCAAAGTCACCTGGTGAGCTTCCATGGCAAGACAGGGTGTTGGACCAGGCCCTAGTTTGACACTCTTACCTGTGACTCTGTGCTGGCTCTACAGATGTAGAATCCCCCGGCTGTACCCCTGTTTGGGGGCAGGAGAAGAAGAAGAGATTAGATTTATCCCCCGCCCTTCACTACCCGAAGGTGTCTCAGAGCAGCTTACAAACTCCTTTTCCCTTCCCCTCCCTACAACAGACACCCTGTGAGGTAGGTGGGGCTGAGAGAACTCTTGACACAAATGGCTCTTTTTCAAGAACAGCTCTTAACAGCTTGCCCAAGGTCATCCAGCCAGGTGCAAGTGGAGGAGTGGGGAATCAAACCCGGTTCTCCCAGATTAGAGTCCGTGCACTTCACCACTACACCAAACTGGCAACTAATAGGCATCTTTTATAATGGGGATCCAGTCAGGTCAACTTTCAGGTATGCAGAAGGCTTAGAATGGTTTATGTGGGGCTTCTAGAGAGTCTCCCATCCAGGGCCTGGCCAGGCTGAGACTTGCGTCGCTTCAGCAGGGTGGTTTTGCCTTCAGACGAGAAGCAGGACTCTCCTCGGGACCGTTGCCATACCTAACGTCTCTCTCTCTCCGTGCCACAGGCCACTGGAACAGCTGTCCCTGGAAGGGGTTCTTGGCTTCATCGTCAACGTCCCGTCCAACGTCTCCTTGGGCTTCTTGTCCCTTCCCATGAGGCGCCGGCACTGGATCGCCGTGCGTCAGCTCGACGGCACCTACTACAACCTCGATTCCAAACTCAAGGCTCCCGTTCCGATCGGCGGGGAAGCTGAGCTCAGGTGCTGATGGGGGTGACGGCTATTCGGGTTCCTCTGTCATCCCCAGGATAAATGAGGGGGGGGAACTAAAGAGTGAAGCCCAGAGGTCATTTCGGGGGGGATCGCGGGGGATCGCAGTTCCCCCGGGTGAGGTACGGGGGGGCGGGGCACATGACGATGCCCCGCCCCCTGCTTCCGGCCCTCATTCAGCCAGGAGGAGGCAGGAGAAGAGGGAGGGTAAGTTGTTTCCTCCCTGCCTCTCCCCACCCCTGCCTTCCTGGGGCCAGGGAGGGCCTCCGCGGGGCTTCCTCGCACTCCCGCCGGCCTTGCAGGTCCACCGCCGGGCCCCTCATGGGGCTCTGCAGTGGAGCTGC